ATTCTAACCCTTGTTGTCACATCATTGTTTCCAAGTTCTCACACACCATTCACTCTTCCAACTGTTGCAATCCGACTCCTCTTCCCACCACTCCTGTAACTCTTTCTCAAAGTCACCAACAACTAATATGTGACACTTTCCTGTCCTCCTGCATTGTGACCTCCTGACCTTTTAACAGTCCTTCCTTATTCCTTATTTTTTCTTGATTTGTGTATACTTCCTTTTCATCTCACCTCAGAGGCCATTTCTTACATCTCTAAAAGCATGAGTTCTTCAGGGCCTTCTAGTAAGCCTCTGTCTCTGCTCTTTCTGTACTCCCTAACTGATTTCCTACAGTCTCATGTTTCTAAAACCCATTTCCATAATGACGACTCCCCAAATTAGTATCCTTGGGAGAGACCTTGATCCCGTGGCTCGTTTTCAACAATACACTTGACATGTCCATTTAGACTCAAGCATAATAAACATAAAACTAAACCCATGATTCCTTCCCAGACCCAGGTATTCCCCAATCTCCCCGGCATGGTAGATGACAGCACCGTCTATGCTAGTCCCTATATAACTCTGTCACATTATCACACACTTACCCAGCGTATCCACAAATCTTGTGGATCCTACCACCAGTGATACCTGGAACACCACCCTGGTCCATGCCCCATCATTATTTCTGAACCTACTATAGCAACCTTCTCACAGGCTTGCCTACTTCTTCTCCAATCCATTTTTTTTACAGACTATGCATATACTTTTTATATAGTAAATCAAATTAACCCAATTTAAAAACATTCAATGGTTTCATGAATGTACTCAGAAAAAATTGTAAGCCATCTATTATGCCTAAAGCCCCTATATAGCATGATTCCTAATTACTTCTCTAGCTACACCCTTCTCTAGTCAGCCTGGCTGGCTTTTTGTCTGTTTGTTTGTTTGTTTGTCCCTAGGGCCTTTGCACATGCTTTTCTTTTCTTTTTTCTTTTTCTTTTTTTTGGAGAGGTTTTTGCTATAGGGCGCGTGCGCTCGCCAGACAGACAGAGAGAGACAGAGAGACAGAAAGCGAGAAATCACCCCCCAGGGGGGATGGCCACGCCGCAATCCCTTCTCCTCCATTCTCCTCTCGGGATCTTGGGCACGCATGCACACACGCCCGGCGTGAGTTTTAAGCCACCGGGTCCTGGACGCGAACCGCGGTCGACTACGTGGGAGTCCAGTGACATAGCCATTACGCTAACTGCTGGTCCCTGCACATGCTTTTCTTTATGTCAAGAACATGATATTATTCATATCTCTTTGTCTAGTTAACTCCTACTCATCCTTTAAATTATACGTCAAAGATTTCTCTTCCTCTTATGTGTCACTTCTTTTTTTGTTTGTTTGTTTTGTTTTCCCATAGGACACATGTGCTCATCAGAAAGAGGGAAAATGAGAAATCACTCCTCAGGAAGAATGGCCATATGGTTACATCATAATTCCTTTTCCGCCATTTTCCTCTAGGAATTTTAGGCACACACACGCACACGCACACGCACACGCACACACACACACACACACACACACAATGATTTTTAAAATTTTCAAACTGACAGATCCAGGACTTGAACTGCAGTTGGCCATGTGGAAGTCCAGTGCCTTAATGACCATGTCACCTACTGGCCCTCAGCATGACTTCCTTAGGAGACCTGTCCATGACCTCTCTAACTCAATCAAATACCAGCCCTTATTGTCATCCACAGTACCATGTATCTCTTTGGCATTGTCTTAGTTTGTTCCTTTCTCAATTTAATTTAAAAATTTAAAAAGAGATTTTTCCTATAGGGCATGTGTGCTCATTAGAGAGACAGAAAGCAAGAAAGCACTCCCCAGGGTGGATGGCCATACTGCATCCCCAGGGGGAATCTTGGACATGCACACAAATGTGCCCAGTGTGAGCTTCAAGCCACCATGTCCAGGATTCAAACCACGGTTGACTATGTGGTGTCCAGCGACGTGACCATTACACCATCTGCTGGTCCCAGTATTGTCTTAGTTTTTTTAAGCTTAGTTGATAGATGCCTATGTCCCCTCTACCATAGTGAATAGTTCCTGAAGGCAAAGAAAGTATCTGTTTTTGTGTATTATCAGTATATTCCCAGTTCTAGGTACTAGTATAGTATCTAGAAAATAGTAGTTGCTTGAGAAACATTTGCAGGATGAATAAATGCTTGATACAACGTCATGTTACTCAGAGGACATGTGGGTTCTTTGAGAATACAGTAATCAAATAATTAAAGAAAAAGGATAATTCAAAAGAATAACTACATGGACTTAAATTATAGAGCTATTAGCTTTGTTTGAATATGTATCTATGAAATGTGATACATATTCACATTTTATACCTATGATACTTATCCCCTAGTTATTAAAGGCAAAATGAAATCTCCATCCTACTCTGCATACCACACACATACAGAAATGCTCAGTGAAAGTATGCAAAAGGAAGCACAGAGCTGTATTTGTGAGTAGGGCCAACGTCACAAATTTTTATTTTTGAAAAAAATAAAAAAAGAGGTGGGTGGGGAGTTTTTCTTGAAAGAGAAGGGGAGAAAAGAAAGCTGAAGTAAGAGCTTAAGAAATTTTTGTAAAGAAAATAATGTTGGGAACCAGCAGTTAGCGTAATGGCTATGTCGCTGGACTCCCACGTAGTCAACCGCGGTTCGCATCCCGGAACCGGTGGCTTAAAACCCACACCGGGCGCGTGTGCGTGCGTGCCCAAGATCCCGAGAGGAGAATAGAGGAGAAGGGATTGTGGTGTGACCATTCCCCCGGGGGATGATTTCTCGCTTTCTGTCTCTCTGTCTCTCTCTGTCTGTCTGGCGAGCGCACGTGCCCTATAGCAAAAACCTCTCCAAAAAAAAAAAAAAAGAAAAAAAAAGAAAATAATGTTCAAAATTTAATTTCAAGTTGTTAATGTTGTTGCAATATAAATTTTCCTGCCTCCCCAAGCTTTCTGTACTGCCTGCTATGTTCATATCTTAGATATGGACTAAATCACCAGAAAAGGAAGGAGAGAGTGATTCGGCCATCAAGCCACAAGGACCACTTAGGAGGCAAAGGCTCCTTCTTCTCCTATATGTCTGTTCACACTCGACATTTCTCTAACTCCATTTCATCTGTGCATGTCACTCACTAATGCCTACTCCTATTTGAATGTATAGGAATTACATATCTATGCCAGTCTACGATAAGAGGCCACATTAAAAGTGTAGCTTGGTACACAGGATACTGTTTTCCAGATAAGCTCTTGAAACTCTCAGCCTCACTGTTCCTATCTTTCCTCATCCAAGCACATCTCCCTTTGGGGCCTTGAATTTGGTGTGCACCTCAGCCTTCCTCATGCCGCCATGCTCTCTTTGAACGTTCCCTACCCCTTTACTGGCAGCAAATTCTTGATGATACGTTTCTTCTGACCTTGCCTAACTGGGCCCAACCTCATGGATGTCAGGTATCCAGTTTGAACCTGCTCTACCAGAAGGACTGGGGCGGAGAGTATTTGATATAATGCCTCATTCACATCAATGCCTTAAAAAGGATGATTAGATTCAGTCAAAAATTAAATCAACCACGTGGTAGTAATTCTCCAGAATACCATCTAATAAATCTATTAATTTACTTGTACTTTTAATCCACAAGCAAAGATTTGTACTGCTTTCCTACTTTTTATTTATTTATTTATTTTTAGATTCTTGCCATAAGGCATATGTGCTCACTAGAGAGAGAGGGAAAGTGAGAAATCTCCCCCTAAGAGGAATGGCCCCACCTTAATCCCTTCTCCTTCATTCTCCTCTTGGGATTTTGAGGCATGCATGCACATGCACCCAGTGTTTTTCTGGGGTGTTTTTCAGGTCTGGATTCGAGATGCCTAGTCAGCCATGTGGGACCCGGCACCTTAACCATCACACCATCTGCTGGCCCTTCTCCTAATTTTTAACAGAGTTCTGCTGGTCAAGATTTTTACCAACCATTAGTTTTGTAAGAGATTATTGGAATAGAGTACATTTTATAGTGTGTGTGTGTGTGTGTGTGTTTGTGTGTGTGTGTATATATATATATATATGAGGCTTTTCAAACGATGTATTGTTTCTTTTTCTAAAGAATTGTTTTATTTAACTTTATTATTATTATTTTTTAATATTTGACCAGAGAGGGACAGAATGTGAGAGAGAGAGAGAAAAAGTGAGAGAGAAAGAGAAAGTGAGAAAGCAAGCAGTCAGGTCCAGGACTTGTACCACGGTTGGCCATGTGGGAGTCCAGCGCCCTTAACCACCACGCCATCTACCAGCCCCAGTGTATCTTTTCTGACCCTCCTTGGGATTGTTATATCCCTCTACCCTCCGCTGATTATGGGAGCCTGAGAGAGAAAATTTCTTCTGCTGTTTGATGGAGAGCTCCTGATCTAGAGGAAAAAGATGTCACCTGGAAAAAGTCTCTCCTTTCTTTTTACACTGAAAATAACAGGAAAAATACAAATACATTAATTTATTGCACTTAATGACCAACATTGTAAGAATAGCTAAATAATCTGATTTACCCATCTAGGAGAGCGATGACGTTCTTCCTGGGCCGCCCAATATTAGGGCCATACAAGCTGGCTCTGGAGTAAATCCGGATGGGCTGCAACAGGCTCTTCAGCTGGATGTAATCCTTTCCCAACTGGCTGCCATTTACTGCCCGGCCATGCATGGTCCGATAGTTATTTGGCTCTAGATTAAAAGCACACATGTAAGTCAAAGTTGAGAAGGGTGTCTTTGCCAACCCTTTCCTTTCCATAGATCTCACTGCCTTTTTCTTAACAGCATGAATAAAATAACCCAGAAAAAGGCTGTGAGTTATCTAAATCAAGGAACCACTCCTTCAAAAATGTCAAGTTAGCTGTGCCATCTTGCTGTTCCATTCACTTCCAGTTAATCTTCTCAAGAGATTGCCTAGCCCACAGCAGAGGCCATACTGATTTTCAGGTGATATCTCACAATGAATGTTGTATTGTGTTAAATAGTGCAAATTTTATCTACTGGAACTTCAGAATGTGACCTGATTCGGAAATAGGAACTTTGAAGGTGCGATTTTTATGATGAGGTCATAGCGAATTAGAGTGGGCCCTATATTCAGTGACCATGGTTTTCATAAGAGAAAGGAGAAGGAAGTCCAGATACATAGGTACACAGGAAAGAATGCCAGGTGATGATGGAGACAAAGATTATAGAGATGCTGCTGTGCTAAGGGGCACTGGCAGCCACCAGAAGCTACGAGGGAGGCATGGAATAGATTCTTATTCAGAACCTCTAGAAGGAATCAATCCTGATGATGCTTTGATTTCAAAAGTCTGGCCTTTTGAAGTGTAAGAGAATACATTTTTATTGTTTTAAACTACCAAGTTTGTAGTAATTTGTCAAGGCAGGCCTAGGAAATGAATGTGAATGGTAAGAAGAGAAAGCTACAAAAAGTCACTGTACTAAAAAGGAAAAATAAAGCTTAATGTTCATTAATAATAACATTGCTGAGTAAAATAACTTTAAGCAAAACTCTCGCTCTCAGCTTCCATTATCTTTATACGTCCTACCAGGGCACAGAGAGTCTTACAAACCAACATTTACACTACTTGAAAGCATGAATTTGATTTGGAAAACAGTGCATGTCCAACGTCTCCAATGGTTTGAGGTTGTGATACTGATAGGGGCAAGATATAGACCAAAAGACTTGCAATAAATGTAATAGAGAGGTCTGGAGAATAAGACAGTCGCAGTTAGGGGCCAGCAGTTGGCATAGCCATTACATTGCAGGACTCTCACAGGCTGACTGTGGTTTGAGTCTTAGACCTGGAAGCTTGAAACTCACACTAGGCATGTGTGCATGCATGCCCAAGGATAATGGAGGAGAAGGGATTGCAGCGTGGCTATTCCCCCAGGGGAGGAGGGGGCTCACTTTCTCTCTCACTGTCTCTCTCTCTCTGGTGAGTGTACACAGTGTACAGAGTGTACACCCTAAGGCAAAAACAACTTTAAAAAAAAAAAAAAAGACAGTCACAGTCAGCCTGAATTAAACTCACACATACCCTTTAACCTAGAAGACTGCACACACTCAGGAGAAAGGAGAAAGTGTCCTAGCTATCCAAATACTCTCAGATAAATGTGAAACACAGGACACTCATAGAGGTGTGACAAGAAAGCATGTGAGAAAGTAAAAGTCATTCAGATTCGTAAACTGCCTAAATTTTGAATGTGTTACCCCATCTACAAACAGACACACTAGCAAAAAGTGGGAACTTTACAAGTTCATAAATTAAGTACAACCCTCAATCAGCCATAGAGGCACTATTAAGCTATGTTGACTTAGGGCCAACCTTAGGAGGCTAGCCTTAATAAAAAATGTAAAAAAACTTACGAGATATTAGTAGCTGCATGATACAATGAAGAAAGACTCTACCCAGTTAGTCCAATTAAGTCACTAGACAAACAAACAAACAACAAAAACAACCACTGGAACAGAGGATTCAGAATCCAGAGCTGCCTCAACACGTTATCTAAAATGCATAATTTCCAACAAAAATATATAAGACATGCAAAGAAACAGGAAAATGTGACCCATATGTGGGGGAGGGGAAGAAGTGAATATAAACAGTCTTTTAAGGTGTCTAACTCTTACATTTAGCAGACAAAAACTTCAAAACTTGTCTTATGAATCTGTTCAAAGAACTAACAAAAATGATAAGAATTAAAGGAAATTATAATGTTATTGACTCATCAAATAGGAATATAGAAACAGAGAAAGACACCATGAAAAAGAAACCATTGGAAATTCTTGAAGTGAAATGACTGATGACATACGGGAGAACACAATGAGATGAACAACGTATTACCAGGAATAATGTAGGTCAGAAGAGAGTGGAATAACATATTCAAAATTCTGAGAGAAAAACAATCTGTTAACCAAGAATTCCTTATGTAGCGGACTGTCCTTCAAAACTAAACTAAAAATTTAGACATTCTGGAGCCAGACAGTGGTGTAGTGGTAAAATGCAAGGTTCTGTGAGGCACTCCCACATGAGGATTCCTGGTTCAAGTCTAGAGACCTTCCTGAGTGCACTGGGTACACATGTGCCATGTTCCGAAGACTAACAGAAGTTTGGAAGTGGATCATGCCATCAAGACCCTGCAGGGTTTCTGTCTGTTTTTCTCTCTTATAGAGTCAGTAAACAAACAAATTTAAAAAAATCATACAGTCCAGAAAAAAGGAAGGAGAGACTTTGTTGTGAACAAATATATTTTATAAGAAGAAAGACAGTGAAAGGAAACGATAGTAGATGATAACTGAAAATCACATGAAGAAATATAAAATATCACTAAAGGCAGTTATACTCAGAGAATATAAAAAACAGTTAAAATTATTCACTGCTCTTTTCTCCTCTTAAGTGATTTAAACGACTACTGCATAAAACAAACTCTATTAAACCATAGTGAAGAAAAGTTTCCATATTAAACTGAAATTAAATTAACATTACTCTAAAGTAGATTGTGAGGAGTTAAGACATTAATGCAATGAGAAACTTCTGAAAAGTAATAAAACAAAAAGTGAAAAGGTACCCTAGACAATATATGTATTTTAAAGAGATTTTTGCTAGAGGGTGCATGCACTCCCCAGAGAGACAGAGACAGATAGAGAGACAGAGAGTGAGAAATCACCCAGGGAGGATAGCCATGCTACAATCCCTTCTTCATTCTCATTTTGGGATTTGGGGCACGCACACACATGTGGCCAGAATGGGTTTTAAAGATGCTGGGTCCAGGACTCAAACCATGGTTGACTATGTGGGAGTCCAGCGACGTAACCCTTACACCATCTGCTGGTCCCAGAAGTATTTCTTTTATATTAAAAAAGAAAGTGGTAAAGAAGAGACAGAGTCACAAAAAGCCATGAAAGTAGGTGGCACAATAGCACACATAAATTCAACCATATAATAATTACATTAAATATAAGTGGATTATACACTCCAATTAAAAGCAGAAATTATCAGATTTAAAGAATGATACAAATAAAGAGATACATTTTAGATTCAAAGATACAAATACAGATGAAAGTAAAAAGGTAAAAATATGTCATGCAAAAAGCATGAGAGCTGGAATAACTAGAATACTGGTATTAGACAAAATAGACTTCGAGACAAAAACATTGAGACAATGTGGGACATTTTATAATGCTAAGCGAGCATTATAATGAGAAGAAATGTCTCAGAGGGGCCAGCAGGTGGCATGGTGGTTAAGGCACTGGGCTCCCATGTAGCCAAGTGCAGTTTGAGGCCTAGAACCCATGGCTTGAAATTTGTGCTTGCCACGTGTGCATGCATTCCCAAGATCCCAAGAGGAGAATGGAGGAGAAGGGATTGCGGCGTGACCATCCCCCCTGGGGGGTGATTTCTCGCTTTCTGTCTCTCTGTTTCTCCAGCAAGCATATGTACCCTATAGCAAAAGAAAAACAAAAACCAAAAACCAAAAAATAAAAACAAAAACAAAACTCTCCCCCCCAAAAAAAGAAAGAAAAAGAAAAAGAAAAAAAAAGAAACATCTCAATTTATCAGGAAGATATAACAATTCAATTTGAATTACTAATGGACAAAAATGAAATGAGAGAAAAGATCATGATAAACTGTTTGTAAATCCTATTTCATATGTATCTTCTCTACCAAGATGTAGGCATCTAAATCTATTAGTTATTGCAGTATCTCTCAAATACAGTATAGTAAATTCATCAGGTATGAGGTAGTCAGTAAATATTTGTTCAATGAAAGCTAACTGAAGTAAAGAAAGCCTAGACATCGTCATATCATTAGTAAAAGAAACAAAACAAAAATAAACCATGAGGTAACAGAAAAAGTAATTCACTTTCTGTTGGAATTCCCAAGTTCCTGGCATAGAATTAGCACTCACAGTTGTTTTTAGCAATTCACTTCCTCTCTCTGAATGTATTTTCTCATTTACATAATATTTACCTTATCAGGCACTTTATTTAGCATTTCGAGGTCCAAATAGAAGAGTCCATTTGGAAGAGCTACATAAACCAATACTATGCAAATATAAAATGAAAATATGTTAGTGACAGCTGATAGAGGTTATGTCACTGGACTCCCACATGGCTGACCGTGGCTTAAGTCCAGGGCTTGGTGGCTTGAAAATCATGCTGGCCTTGGGCCAGTTGTTAGTGTAATGGCTATCTCGCTGGACTCCCATGTAGTTGACCGTGGTTCGAGTCCCAGATCCGGCGGTTTAAACCCACTTCGGGCGTGTGTGAGTGCGTGCCCAAGATCCCGAGAGGAGAATGGAGAAGGGGCTGGGTGTGGCCATTCCCCCTGGGGGGACATTTCTCGCTTTCTGTCTCTCTGTCTTTCTGGCAAACACACGCACTCTGTAGCAAAAATCTCTCCAAAAAAAAAAAACGAAAATCATGCTGGCCTCACGTGTGTGCCTGCCCAAGATCCAAGATACTGGGAGGAAAATGAAGGAGAAGGGATTGAGGTGTAACCATTCCCCTTGGAGGGGGGTGATTTCTTACTTTTCCTTTTGCACATGTGCCCTAAGGCTAAAACATCTAAAAAAAATGACAATTAAAATGACAATATTGTTAATAATTTAAAAATAAGACTTCTAAGAAAGTCCGTTATTACCAACCAGTGACATGAAATATGTATTGTTATGCCCTTCAAAATAAAAAA